TCTTTAAATTGTATTTAAAACAAAGCTGCTGCTGTTGATCTTTCTGTTTTCATAAGCCCCGCCCCCAAGGCCAGGACTCTAAGGGAAACACTGTTTTGAAGATGTTCTTGATAAAACAACTGACTGTTAGTAACTCAGTCTAAAATGTTTGCATCTGTTTAATCAGATGTCATATATTATATACCTCTGTATAACCATGGTAATATTTTTGTAGTACAAATTACAGTACACGTTTTTCTTATTTTATCAAAATTTGAACATTTTTGTTTCAGGCAGGTAACTTTTCATGTCGGGCAGGTTGTTGTCACCTGCTCGATAGGGCAGGTACAAAAAATGAATCTTGTTGAACCCTGCGTATAGGTATCAGTAAATTCAGGTTTTATCCAAATGATTTTATTTTAAACTGTGAACAGGATGTGACTCACAGAGCCCTGCACCTGACAATGATGTTCTTGTTAAATAAGTCTTGTAAGGATATTAGCAAACAATCAGACTTACGTCTCTAAATTGGACCATGCCCAGTTCTCCCAGCTCGCTGACGCAGCAGTAGGCCGCCTCTGACTGGAGAAAGAGCTGAGCCAAGGTCATCTCTTCACTTCGAAAGAGTTCCCCCATGATGACGTCCTCCTCACAGACAAAACTACAGGAACTGAATGAAGAGACAAAAACACGATGTTAGAAAGAGGTCAAACCAAACAACATCAGCACAGGAGCTGTTCTTCAGCCTCAGCCTGGAATCAAACCTGCAACCTGTGTGCTGTGCAACTAAGTCCCCATGCAACCCACACAGCAGCTTATCAGTTACTGTTTGATACGTTAGTCTATAAAGGGGTCTGGATACGGCAAGGGTCTCCCTAAAAACACTGGTGGTCCTGCCACTGACCCCCCTTAGTCAAACACTTTTATCTTCCTGAGTCCCAAACGTCTGCTTGGTGTGTACTTTTATTTCCTCAGGTACTGAGGAATAATGGAAACTCACAAATATAAATACTGTAGTTTATGGACTGTACTTATACAGCACTGTTCTGATCAACGAGCTAATCTAAGCTCTTCACACTACAGTCCTCATCACCCTCTGTTAGGTCTCTAACATGTTCAAATATCTGTAACATGAAAACAAACATTGGTTATTAGTAGTTAAATCATTAAATCCTAAAAACTGAATTTGCTGAACAAGATGATGATTTTATCAAAAAGTAACAGCAACTGTGAATAAAGTAAAAGATAAAGTAAAACAAATGATTTTCTATCTCCTGCATTCAGACGTGTCACAAGTATTACCATTCATTACTTAAGTAGAAGTACAGATACGAGGGTTTAAAAATACTTTTTTGGAAGTAGAAGTATCAACTCAAGCTTTTTACTCAAGTAAAAGTATAAAAGTACTGATTTTAAAACTACTTAAAGCATAAAAGTAAAAGTAATGAACACTTAAAGGAGACCAATTATGGGTGGTAGAAATGTTTATGGTATGTCTGTGGCCTATCCAGACCATCTTCATTCAGTTTAATGCACAAAATAATTCTCAGATAATAAAATTTCCCATTTTCTAGTTCTGCTGCTCTGACTTCTGTTCAGAAGAGCTGTTTATGTTAATGAGCTCTGTTGGTAACGCCCTCCAAAAATCTGTTGACATTAACTCCGCCCTCCAAAAATC